AACTAATGATGTAATGTATGGGGATTAACATAAGAAAAAAAAAAATAAATTAAAAAAAAATAAAAGTTCAAGGCAAAAAGTGAAAAAAAAAAGTTGTAAATCTACCACTTTTCTGTAATTATCCTTTTATGATACTTTTTAAAAAAGATTTTATTTATTTATTTTAGAGAGAAAGAGTGTGTGTGTGTGTGTGTACACACGCGGGAGAGAGTGGGGGGAGGGGCAGAGGAAGAGGCAGAGAATCTCTAGCTGATTCTGCGCTGAACGTGGAGCCTGAAGTGGGGCTCAATCCCATGACCCTGAGACATGACCTGAGCCGAAATCAAGAGTTGGTCGCTTAACTAACTGAGCCACCCAGGTGCCCCCTTCTGTGATGCTTTTAATGAATTAAAGATATTCCCTTGAGACTATTTTAGTAATAGCAGGCACACAGATATATGAATGCAGAGATCTCATATAAGTAACTTACAAATAATATATGTGAAAACTGTAAAATTATTCCATTAAGGAGTGTCAGAACAGTTATAGTGGGAAAGCAGTATGGGGAAGACTGACCTATTGATAGCTAAATTGTTACTTATGGTATAAAGGTTTATACCATAAAATTTTGCTAGTATATTTTTGTATGTGTATGCAGTTGAAAATCATATGTTTTTGATAATTTTTGACAAATACTTGAAACATGACTATTTAGTTATCATTGTAGGAATCTATTTTGCTTAAAATTTTTAGTTTGGCATTAAACTTCCACCCCAAAATTCTATAGTAGTATTTTTCTCTTCCTACTCTTCAAAAATAACACAAAATAAAGCCAAACAAACTCAAAGCACCTCACAGCCATTTTGTAGAAATAAAACCAGTTCATCTTTGTGGAATGGATATGCCAGGTCCTGAACATATTGTTGATAATTTTTTTAAAGATTTTATTTATTTATTTGACACAGAGAGAGAGAGATCACAAGCAGGAGGAGCAGCAGACAGAGGGAAAAGCAGGCTCCCTGCTAAGCAAGGAACCTGAGGCGGGACTCAATTCCAGGACCCTGGGATCATGCCCTGAGCTAAAGGCAGATGCTTAACTGACTGAGCCACCCTGGCATCCCTGTATTGTTGATAATCAACCTGGTCAGGTAACGTTCCCAGGAAATCTTCTACCTTTCCCTTTTCTAAGAATTAATAAAATTTATTTCTTAGAGCAGTTTTCGATTTACAGAAAAACTGAACAGAAAGTACAGAGAGTTCTCACACACTCCCATGCCTACTCTGCAACCAGTTTACCCTATTACTAACATTTTGCATTGGCGTACATTTGCTGCAAGTGATGAACCAGTATCGATATATTATAACTAATGTCCACAGTTTACATTAGGGTTCATTCTTTGTGATGTATGGTTCTGTGGGTTTTGCCAAATGCATAATGTCATGTATCCCCCATTATAGTATCATACAGAATAGCTTTGCTGCCCTAAAAATCTCCTTGTCTCCTTGTTCCACCTATTCATCTCTCCTCCTTCCTTCCCCAACCACCTTTCCTTTTTAATACCTAAATTAAGCCTAGAGTAATATTAATTAGTTTGAGCTAAGAATTTGCTTAAATAACCAATGATTCCCCATGGCAATCAAAATTTCTTAATCATTTAGACTAGCAGTGTCCAATAGAAATATGATGTGATCATATGTGTATTTAAAATATTCTAGAAGCTGCATTTAAAAAATAAAGAAAACCAAGTGAAAATAATTTAGTAGTTTATACTTATTCCAATATATTGACAATATCAATTACAAAATGTAACCATATAAAAATTGAGATGTTTTAGTGTTTTTGTAATAACACTCAAAAACTAGTGTGCATTTTTTTTTTTTAAGATTTATTTATTTTGGGGGGGGAAGGATGGAGGGAGAGGGTAAGAAAGAATCTCCAGCAGACTCCCTACTGAGCGAGGAGCCTGACCCAGGCCTGGATCCCACCACCCTGAGGTCCTGACCTGAGCTGAAATTGAGTGGGATGCTTAACTGACTGAACCACCCAGCCCCCCCTCTAGTGTGCATTTTAAACTCACAGCACATCTCATTTCAGTATAGTCACACTTAAAGTGCTCAATAGCCACAAGTGGCCTGTGACTAAGATACTAGACAGTGCAGGCCTAGACTGTGAGCAATCTGAGAGCAGGTTATCCCGTCTCCAAGGCCTCCAGAATAGAAATGCGGTGGATATTTTTGTAAGGTATACCAGAAACGTAAAAGGAGCTCTCTAAACCTTTGCATTGCTGATACTTGTATTGTTCTGCGACCACTTTCCTTTAAACTTCCTTTCCAGTTTTGGAAAAAGTGGAATGGGGATCATGCTCATTCCAGCATATCAAACAAATGAATACTGGCCTTCCTGACTCCCAGAAGGCCTGAATCATCTGAAATGTTGACTCATGAGCCTAAGGTGACTGAAATGTAATGGGAATCAAATTTGCCTTCCAAGGCATCATTTTGTTTCCACTTTCCTCTTCTCTCTCTTTGGGTGACTCATCTTTCTACCATGTAAGAGTCCAGCAGCAGGCAGAGCCCCAAACCCTCCTGAATGAGCCGACTTTGAAATGGCCCCAGTCCTCCAGACTGTCCAAGCCCAGCTGTTTTGCCTACCTCATCCAGGGTCTGCAGTTTGGACGGAAAACAATCTTAAAGCTGCCCCCCCCCCCGCCTTTTTTTTTCTTTTAAGGTGGTGAAGGTAGTAGTGACGAGTTGGTCTGGTAATTTAAGTTTGAAAAAAGGTTATCTTTTTATTTCAAAATCTTTTAATACTTAGTGTATACTTAAATCCTTAGGGCCTACTTCATAGTAGCTTTCTCCACTCCGGTTTTTTTTCCTTTCCTGGGAGGAAAGTTACCACCCCCAGGCCCCCAGGATAACGCCCTTCCGGGGATGGGGGCCAGAAATCCTCAATCCTTCGGGGCAGGCCGCCTGTCCTGCCGCAAGTGTACGCACTACTGGAGCTACAGACTGACCCCCACCTCTGGGCGAAGCTAAGACCCCAGCCCACCCCGCGTCTACCCAAGGTGAAGGGTGGGGCTCCCAGTTCCAAACCCCTCCCATGGAACTCACCCGAGCCGGTAGGAGAGAGGAGGTGCAAAAGGCCCCACCTACTTTTCTCTCTTTCTCTTTCCATTGGACTGACTGGTTGCCCATCGTCTCTGTTTCGTAGGCGATTGGCTTCCTTCCTCCCGCGCCAGTCCCTGCCTCTCCCCGCCGGGGAGGGTAAAGTCACGCCAAACTGGGCGGAGAATCCACTGGCCTCTCTCCTTCGCTCGTCTGGGCGGTGGCGGCAACTGGGGACGGGGCGGGTGGCGCATCACGGGCGCAGAGGCAGGAGGAGCAGTCTCATTGTTCCGGGAGCCGTCGCCACTGCAGGTCTCTGGGCTCGTTCGGCCCTGTCCCTCTCAGTCCTCCCCAACCCCCACAACCGCCCGCGGCTCTGAGGAGAAGCGTCCTGTGGAGACAGCTGCAGCATCATCTCCGACCCGCCAGCCATGGAAGACATGGACCAGTCGCCTCTGGTCTCCTCGTCCTCGGACAGCCCGCCCGGGCCCCAGCCCCCGTTCAAGTACCAATTCGTGAGGGAGCCCGAGGACGAGGAGGAAGAAGAGGAGGAAGACGAGGAGGACGAAGACGAGGACTTGGAGGAGCTGGAGGTGCTGGAGAGGAAGCCCGCCACGGGGCTGTCTGCAGCCCCGGTGCCCACCGCCCCCGTCGCTGGCGCGCCCCTGCTGGACTTCGGCAGTG